TCCTCCTCCACAATTACTCAATATGAATACTACTCTCCCTCTTCCCCTGATGACGTCTTTTGCGTATTCGCCCCCCCCCGCGTACTGTTTTTTTACACACACGATTCCCCGGAGTTGGGTTTTCGCCTGCGTTGTTTTTCAAAATGCTGCTCTCGCTGAGGCGCCGGCCTCATTTCTGCTCCCGAATCGTTCCGAATCGTGCTCCCGCTGCAGCGTGGGCCTCATTTTCGGATCGGTGTTTTGCCTCCGTCGTTCAGGATGGCGTTCTCGCCCCAGCGCGGGCCTCTTTCTCGCGCGCCCATCCGCCCGCCACCACCGCGCCGCACCACGCCCCGCCCCGCCGCACGCACACCCACCGCCACTTCCACCCACCAACGCACGCACGCACGCACGCGCACCACCACCGCGCACCGCCACCACCACCGCACTACCCCACCCACCACCACCACGCTACACCGCGTCACACCACATCACACGCGCGCACACACGCACGCACGCACGCACGCACGCACGCACGCACGCACGCACGCACGCACGCACGCACGCACGCACGCACGCACGCACGCACGCACGCACGCACGCACGCACGCACGCACGCACGCACGCACGCACGCACGCACGCACGCACGCACGCACGCACGCACGCACGCACGCACGCACGCACGCACGCACGCACACACACACACACACACACACACACACACACACACACACACACACACAGACACACACACACACACACACACACACACACACACACACACACACACACACACACACACACACACACACACACACACACACACACACACACACCACCGCCACCACCACCACCACCACCGCCATCACGCACGTACGCACCTGGCCCACCACCAAACCACCAAGACGCCACACCACGTCACACCACAGCACACGCGCACACGCGCACACACACACACACACACACACACACACACACACACACACACACACACACACACACACACATACACACCACACCACCACCACAACAACCACAACCACGCACACACGCACGCACGCACGCACGCGCACCACCACCCACTACGCACACGCGCGCGGAGCCACAGGTCCGCTACGACACGCGTCCGCGGATAGAGAAAATCAGCGCCATGGTAAGGGATGGGAGGGAGGGGTAGGATGTCAGATGTTGACGCGAGCGCACCTAACTTGTCCTCCTCCCCCTCCTCCTCCTCCTCCCCCATCCCAAATATTGGCGAGGCAGGCAACGGGGGGAGCTCTTGTTCAACGAATCCGCCCAACTCAGACGCTGCCTGCCGACAGCTCGTCGCCTGCCTCCCGGGGGACTGGCACAAGAGGGGGGGGGGCCGCGTCAACCCGGGATCGCCGACGCTTCACTGGCGAAGAACGGCCTGCCGTAAACTCCTTCGCCGTCGGGGGCGCCTGCCCCATGGGCGGCTGGAGAGTTCATACCCTCACGGTGGTACCACAGGGGTCTAAACTTTCCAGCCGCCCATGGGCACGCGTCCCCGACGGCGGAGAAGTTTACGTCACACCGTTCTGCGCCCGCTGAGATACGTCGCCGACAGATCGGCGATAGGCCCCCGATGGTGGATCCGCGCCTTCCCGTGCAGGACGGGGCTCGTGGGGCCCCTGTCGGCGACCACTGGGCGCTCCGGGGCCGCCGCCTCCCCCCCTGTGCCTACTTGTCCCCTGACGCTGCCCCTGACCTTCCGCTCCCGCCGACTGACTGACGGCCGCTCCGCCCCTGCATGGAGGACGCAGCGCACGTCTGGCGGCCAGCCCCCAAGGGAGGACACGCCGGGGGGCTGCCGCCACGCGCGGCGCCCCTGCCGCAGCCCCAGGGCCACGCCGGCGCCCGCCAGGGCAGCCTCGCGCCCCCCACGGTCCGGTGCCGCCCTGCGGAGGGCTGCCCCGGCTGACCGGCCGCTGCTCCAGGCGGCCGACGCTTCTCTTCTCTTCTCTTCTCTTATCTTATCTCATCTTATATTATATTGTATTGTATTGTCTTACCTTATAGAATATTATATTATAGTGTCTTATATTATGTTGTATTATCTTATACTGTCTTGTCTTATATTATCTTATATTATGTTATCTTATATTATAGTGTCTTAAAGTGTATTATATCATATTATCGTAATTTATCTTATCTTATAGTGTATTATAATGTATTATCTTATCGTATAGTATATTATATGTTATTGTCTTATCTTATCTTATATTACATTATATTATATTATATTATATTATATTATATTATATTATATTATATTATATTATACGTTATTATTATCTCCTCCTCCTCTTCCTCCTCCTCCTCCTCCTCCTCCTCCCCCTCCTCCCCCTCCTCCTCCTCCTCCGCCTCCTCCTCCTCTTCCTCCTCCTCCTCCTCCTCCTCCTCCTCCTCCTCCTCCTCGTCCTCATCGCGCTTCGCGCGGGGCTCTCATGGCGCGCGAGCCCCTGACACGCAGCGTCGATCGACTGAGTGGCCGTCGGTCAGCCCCTGAAGCCAGAGCCGCGAGAGGAGGGCCTCGGGCAAGGGGCTGGCCTCTGGCTTGGCCAGCGCGCCTGCTGCGGCCAAGGTGATGCAAGGACCGTCAGGAGGCACACCGACGCCGATAATAGTCCTGGAGGGGGGGGGGTCCCGACCACCCCCAGAGTCCAGCCCACCCGCCCCTGTCAGCAGCATTCCTCCGCACGAGCACTCCCGCAGTGCGAGAAACTCTTTCTGCGCCGGTGGTGTTGTTGGCATCCGGGAGCGCGCGCCGACTGCGCACCCTCCCCGAGCCAGGCCCCGATCCCTGGCCCAGGACGAGTATACGCCCTCCTGCCCTGGCCAGGAGGTCGGATGCACCAATATGAAGGGGCCCCAGGACACACAAATAAATACACACAAATAACATAATCCCCCATATTTTCCCAGATGTTCTGGGTTTCTGTCTTCCCGCCCACTTCCCATATTTTCCCATATTTTCTTAGGAATCGGCGATGAATTGTGTCCGTGTGTTTTTCCCTCTCCTGATAGAAGCGTACAGGTGGCACTCCCCGGGTGTGCATCGTGGCGGTCCTGACGATGCTCTGGCCTGCTGTCGTGAAGCAGAGCTCGGCGGCTGGGCGAGGCGACGAAGGCCGCGGCAGCGCCCCACGCCATCCTCGCGCTCGGCTCTGCCCAGCCAGCTTGGGCCGGAGCGCTCTCTCGAGCCAAGAGCGAAGAGGCGAAGACCAAAAGGAAACGATAGGGCAAAAGCTGAGCGACCGAGCACACGGACGGCATCTGGAGTCCGATTCCTGAACAATGGCAGAACATGCCCCCACATCAAGAAAGACCTGCTCGCACAGGGGGGGGCACAAATGCACACCGAAAAAATAAAACGAACCGGCCAGCGCAATTGGCAGGGCAACGTTAGCCAAGCACTGCCGCGATCGTCGCTGGGACGGCGCTCAACTGAATACCACATCCGATCAGTACCACTGAGTCTTGATGCCGCTCAGCCAGCGCACTCTCGCAGACTGCTGGGCATCGGCTCGGGCTGGAGGCCGAAGGATCTTCGACGCCCCTACCTCCCAGCCACCCGGCCTCCACGCCGTCTTCACGCTCGCAAGCGCACAGATCGCGCACAAATCAAACTCCGCCGAACCAATTCAGCTCGGGAGGCGTCTGGGAGAGCATGGGGTGTACCGTGGGTTTCGTTGGACGAGCAGCGCGGCCCGCGCTGTGTTGCTCTGGCGCTCCAAAGGACCAACTGCTCATAGCTAGCGCAAGAAGCGAACCTAGCCGACCTCCACCACCAGGTCCTCCGCTTCCTTCCTGCACCGTCCATCGCGGGAGCTAAACGCCCGCGGGCGAGCCGCCACGTCTTCGGGACCCGCAGGAAACGAATCCAAGGCTGACCTAAAGCCGCGCAGGACGTCACTGTGTTGGACCCCCCTGTAGCCCTCGAAAGTGGCCACAGTTTCGCAAAACGCACCCCCTCCAGGAATGGCAAGGTCTGATGTAATTATGCTTGCGTGGGGCGTCACTCCGCTGGACCTCCAAGCAGCCCTCGAAAGTAGCAACAATTTCGCAGATCGCACTCCTCCAGGCATGGTGAGGTCAAATTTACACGGCGTGGGTTGCCACTCCGCTGGACCCCCCAGAAGCCCTCGAAACCAGCGACAGTTTCACAGATCGCAGCCCCCCAGGAATGGCGACATCTAATTCAAGTCCGCGCGTGGCGTCACTCTGCCGACCCCAGCAGCCCTCGAAACTGGCTGCATGTTCGCGGATCGGACCCCCCCCAGGGATGGCGACGTGTAGTTTCAGTCTGCGTGGGGCGTCACTCTGCTGGACTCCGCAGGAGCCCTCGAAAGTGGCGACAATTTCGCAGATCGCAAACCCCCAGGGATGGCGAGGTCAAATCTGAATCTTCGCATGGTGACACTGCGCTGACTCCCCCAGCAGCCATCGAAAGTGGCGACAGTTTCGCGGACCGCAGCCCCCAGAGATGGCGAGATCTGGTATACGTCTGCGTTGGACGTCGCGACGCAGCCCTCGAAAAAGGTCGCAGTTTCGCAGATCGCAACCCCCCAGGGATGGCGAGGCCGAATCTGACTGTGGGTGTGGCGACACTGCGCTGGCCTTTTCCGGCAACCCTCGCAGTGCGGCAACCACGTCGCAGACCGCAGCCCCCCTGGGGATATGTCGAGGTCCGAATTACCTCTGCGCGGGGCGCCCCTCCGCTGGACCCCCCTGGCAGCCCTCGACGGTGGCGACGGTTTCGCAGATCGCAGCCCCCCAGGGCCTCCTCCTCCTCCTCCTCCTCCGATCAAGTTTAAGTCTGCGTCGGGCACGCCTCTACAAATGCTCGCATGACCGATTGCAGCGAGATCAGTCATAGCTCAGAAGGCCGCCGGGCTGCCCAAAGCGCGAGATAAAATCCGCAAACGGAACGCGCGTCAAAAAGATGCTCTAGCAGTGCGAAGAGCTTTTCGGTCATAGCTCAGAAAGGAGACAGAGCTCAGTCCTCTAGAGGCTCTAGCCTTATGCTATCGATGTTGCTGGGATCCTCTCATGTGACTGGGAGCTTTGTAGCTGCTCTAAATCGCGACATCAAGTCCAGAAACAAAACGTGTGCGAGTCATGCTTGCAGAGTGGAAAAGGTTGTTTGGCCATGGCTCGATTAGCAGCTCTTCTGAAGGCTCTCAACCGATGCTGTCGGTCCTCCTGAGTCCATTGGTATGAATGAGAGCTTTGTAATTGCCTTAAATATCGATAGTACATTAAGAAACCAAACGCTAGCCAATAATATATTCAGTGCGAATAGCGTTTCAGGCGTAGCTCGAATAGCAGATTGATCTCAGCCTGCTGAAGTATCTCAACTGATGCTCTCGGTGCTGCTGAATCCACTATTATAAACAGGAGCTCTGTAGCTGCTCTGAATATCGAGATCAAGTCCCAAAACCGAACATATGCAAACACAAAATTGCAAGAGTGCGACTAGTTTTTCGGCCATAGCTCGAGTAGCAGACCGATCTCAGGCTCCCCGAGGCTCTAGACTAATGTTTCCGATGCTGCTGAACCGATTGGTTCATATAAAACCTCTGTAGCTGCTCTAAACCTCGCGATTCTGTCCGTAAACCGAACGCACGCGCATAATATGGTCTCAGGGCGAGCACACGCCATATTAGATTCCCCCATTCAAAATCATCCGCTCGACCTGAGATCTAGATGGCGAGCAGGAATGAAATCTAAGTTGTCGGAAAATACCCCACCCAGAATGACTTGTCAAACATCTTTAAACATAGAGGCAAATACAACCAATTTGTCCTTCGAGATGTTTCGAGCCAACTAGCCAAGCAGAAGTGACCCCGCATTACTCTTAGCCTCCGCTTCGCTATCTGGGAAGCTCTACGAGCCACCTCAAACAGCCTGCGCCGAGGCTTCTGGACCACCGCCGAAACGATCTCCCGGGCTACCTTGCGGCTCCGGCATCTTAACTGGGCGCTGGCGGTAAACCGTCAACCAAAGTTGCTTTGCCTTGCGCAGAGCCACAGACCTGGGGCCAGGTCCGCTCGAGCGCCAGGGCCAGACCAGCACGGAAACTCACTCGTGCACTTCGCGCGGTGCCCACGGCAGCGAGCAACGCGGCGACGCCCACAGGCAGGCGATTGCTGGCCGGGAGCTCTGCTCGCGCAAGCCTCAGAAGCAGCATCACACATCCAATACCCAGATGTGGGAGAGTGGAGATAGGCACGGGGTTCTGATGAAGTCGGACTGCGTTCATCAATTGTGAGGTGCGCTCGGCCCTCACGGGCCAACCACGCATCGGCCCGCACGAGCGTCGCCTTCACGATACAACCACTTGATCAAGTCGTCCTCCAGATGGGGGTCGGATCGTCACATCTGCATCCACAGACCACGCGTGTAGTATGCTCTGCATGTCAGCCACCGTGTCAGCATATACGTTAGTTTGACATGTGAATAAATCGTTCAACCAAGTGACATACAACCAGAGAGTCCCCTTGGAGCTCCACTGGGATTCCTGGCGCCTGAATGTCCCACGTCAAGGCGCGTTTCAGGTTGTAGGCAAGATGCTTCGCCATCCTCGCCTCCCCCTCCTCCGTAAGGTCCTCGCGCTCGCCCTCGTCGTCGTCCCCCATCCCTCCGCCTGGGCCCCCATGGGATCTCTCAAGATAAGATACTCCAACACTTGGTCGAGCTTCCAAAGTCCCGAGACCGCCCGCGCAAAGTTCCTCCACGCAGCCTCATCCCAACGCCAGCTGCTGCACCAATAAACACCCCCAACCAGCTCAAATCAAAGCACCTGACCCAGGGACGCAATCCTATGCGTCTGGCCCCCTCCCGCGCCCGAGCCCACGGTTTAGCCTGGCCCGAG